TGTTTACATTCTGATGCTGTAGCTAACAGCTACTGTAGCAGCTACTGTAGCTAACAGACAGCGGGGAACACGTTGTTTGTATCAGAGCAATGAGAACAATATGTGAGACGTGTCTTTCCCCAAAGTGCAGCGGCTCAGTGGGACACGAGTGTGTGCGCGCCACGGACACGGGAGTGCGCTTTGGAATAACGAGCGTGAGAGAGCGTGAAAGATGTGGCGTACGAACATGGCGTACGAACATAGCGACCGGAGCCTGCGTGCGTGTGTGTGTGTGTTTTGGCGATTAAATAAAGTCTGATTCTTGAACGTTTGAAGTGTTATTGCAACAACACCAACTGTGAGAGCGAGCATCAGGCCAGAGGGAGACTGTTAGCATTAGGTTAGCTTCAAAATGACTGCTCAACACCATAGACCCGCGGTTAGCGCTGTAGTTCTGCGCTGGAGAAAATAAAAATCGAATTTTTAAAAAAAGAAATCGCCCTAAACGTAAAACTCGAATTAATGATTAAAATCGATTAATCGCCCAGCCCTACTACAAATACATATATTTAATAGCATGGCCAGTTAAAATGTAAAACCTTTCATACAAAATCATGATGATACTTTGTGGAGCCTCCAAGGATAGAAAATGATTTGAATTGGTAATGCATTTTTAAAAAGGAGGTATCATAATGGGATAAATTATTAAAAGTATTAGTAGCCATTAAAACTACCAGAGACGTACTTTGAAAATAATGTTATGTTAATTGATGAATAAAACCATTACAAGGTTGCTCCAACATCAGCAGTTTGAACATTTGACTATTTTTACCCTTAAACAAGTCAATCATTTTTAATCACATTGAAAAACCGACCAGGGCAAAACCAATAACCAAGCCTTCTGTTTTTGTCTGCAACTTTCAAGCCGGTAAATAGACAAATATAGCCTGATTTTGGATTAGCTCATTGATTATGGGAAAGCGATCATGGCTTACAGCTCAGCAGGGTGTAAATAGCAGGGAGCGGCTTCTATAGGGACCAGCGATGTGTGACAGTGTGGGCGAGAGAGGAGATTTATGTCAAACACCAGCAGATGATACAAGCCAAGTGTTGTTGCACCCATTTCCCCGTCAGAGAGCCGTTTAATAGCTTCAGTTCTCCATACGGGGAGAAGAAATACGTTAAGCATATTCAGGGTCATATGTTTTGACAGGCGACATCATTGTTATTGGTTATGGTCTCTGCGGCAGACAATTTTTTTAATCCAATGTGAAGGGATTCAAGCATTAACAAGGTATCGATGTTACTACTACAGCCATCATACAACACAGTACATTAAAATTAGACCTAAAATGGGTTGTTGTAAGACCCTGATAAGAAGTCGGACAAAATCTATCTCTCTAGTAATAGTTCATACTTTTACTGCTTCAGAGTCATTTACAGACGAAAAGAACCAGTGGTGGAGGTTGGGTGGACCATTTTTTGACTGTTTACTCTTTTTTTGACGTCACGATTCCAACAGAAACCATCCAAATCACACAGATCAAAGTCAGGCTGCGGGCGATATGGCAAAACAGTAAAATCTCGATTTGAATAATAATCTTTGGGCGATTATGATTTTACAGAAGGCCACTAATATAAGGCTCAACATTCAAGTTTCGAATCCCAAATGTATTGTGCACCGGCGTAGATGATATTTCTTTGATATTTTTACTTCAATAGAAATTAAACTTCATAAATTAAATATTAACTAATTCATAGATAGTGTTGGAGAAGATAGTATTGTTTATTAATATAGCTGATCAAAGTGATGGTCCCCTGTATATAGATGTTTGTATATGCGATTTGAGATAAATGCATTCATAATCTTGTGACACAGAGAGAGAAGTTGGTTTCAAAATGCAGAGAAAAAAAAAAGGTTGAAAATATAATACTGAGTCTTCACAGCGTTGCATATTATAAAAAGCTGAAACCAACCAATTAAATCATGAGAACAAAAGCAAATCAAAATCACACAATGGTCATGGATGTGCTCCAAATAGTGGCTCCAATAATATTTAAATTGGACACGAAACCAACCCATCTCCGGCTCCTTCTTCCATTCCTAAAAGGCTCTAAACACACTCACACACATACACACGCACACACACACGCGCACACACACGCACACAGACACGCACGCACGCACACACCCACTTCCTCCACGTTCATGGCCTGTCCTCGCCCTCTGTATTTAACCAACACGTCTGCGCTGCACGCTTTAAGATGATCACAGGCCATCATGCAGAGTTTGGACTTTCACCGTCTTTCATCATCCCATCATGCACTGCGTCGAGGCTGAGACGGCGGCTTACATCACCAACGGCAACCAACGGCTCTCGAGTCAAACCAGGAGTAAATACAGAGTTTGGGAAAGTGACAACTGCTGTGTACAACGTAAACCTTCATTTGAATCACAATATCTGGGAGCTGGAGCTAATTTCCCTATTGACTCCAGCTAGCTTATGTTCCTATGACATTTGCTACGCACAAGAACAGCGGCAGATGTGTTGCTTAGATAGTTGCTGAGGTAAATTGTAGTTCATTTATTTATCTATTTAATATGGACATAACAATAACATTGGACGAACCAGATGCATTGCTGTAACTGTTATAGCACAGGTGCTAATTTTCAACACTAGTCCACAGGGGGTTTTTACAGTGCAGAAGAGAAATACAGTTAAAAGTATTACAATATTTGTGAGGCCAAACCTGCATGCAAAAGCCAGATCCCGTCAGACCTCTGAAGCTGTTCAGGGCAGGGCCTGATTAGTACCGTGATAGGAGACCTCTGGGAACACCAGGGGCGACTGCGGCTGTAAAGTGCCAAACTTTTGTGGTGTCCTTAGGCAAGACGCTTAACCCACATTGCCTAGAATGAGTCTGGTGTGTGTGTGAATGGTTGGTGGTGGTTGGAGGGGCCGATGGCACATACTGGTTGCCTTGCTTCTGTCTGTGTGCCCCAGGGCAGCTGTGGCTACAGTAGTAGGGAATGAAAGAATAATGACATGTGAAGCGTCTTTGAACGTCCAAAAAAGCGATATATAAAACTAATGTATTATAAGTGATAATGTAATGTAAGGGATAATTATAGAACGCAGGTCATTATCGGAAAATAAGTACAGACAGGGCGAATTGGATCCCGACGCGGAGGGGTCTGCGTCCGCTTTGCGTCCTGTAATCTTACGCACCTGAATTACAAGGCAAATTGCGCTGCCATGGGTAGCGATCATTATTGGTTTTAGAGGTCCGTTATTAACGGCTTATTAACCGAGCGCGAGGTCTGTATGGAGAAATATGTTAATGTACAGACTGAGCCGTGGCGAGGTCTGTACAAAAAGGCCAAGCGAGGTTAATAAATGCTTTATTATATGACTCTCGTCTGTGTCTTTACCAATGCTTTTGAGATATTTGTGAAGTATGTTCATGTCCCACTTGGTTTTGTGTGATACGCGCTGCGGACAGATTGTCATGGTAACGGTCCGAGGAAAGATATCAAATGTGATATGCACTGTTCGGACCAATTGACATGGTAACGGTCCGAGATGGGAAAATATCAGACCGGTAATCAGCCAATCAGAGCGCGTGTATGGTCCAAGTCATATAATAACAAGAAATAATGACTTCTAGAGCGAATTGAAATTACATTCAAACCAATAGAGCATTCTACTGCTACTGTGAGTAGCTGTATAATAAATAAAAATAAACATAAAAACCTTTTAGGGAGTGTGTATCAAAAATTGTTCCTGAGTAAGAGTTTACATTTCAATGAAAGTCATTTGGAGCCAGATTTAGTTGGACCAGTGGCTTTTTGAGTATAGCATGAAATGTATGTATCAATTTTATGGTTAGTGATTTATGTTATTGTATTGTTCTTTCATGTTACCAGGGACTGATGGAAATTAGTTGTGTAGTTATAATCTGATGCAGAACATATGTAACTTTGAAAATATTGCTGTGAACTGTCCCTTTTCAAATAAAGACTAAACTAAACTGAACTAAACTAGATCAAAACTTTGTCCAGGAGCACTTCCCTATTGGGCTTCATAGAGCTCATTGTCGAGCTTAATACACTCTATGTGCTGAACTCAATAAATTCTCTTCAAAGTGCATAGTTTAACATAGATTTTGACTGGGATGAATAAATGATAACAGTAAAAATGTGGTCCTTTGCGAGGGCTTTTGATAACTGTGAGCTTTGAGCTTTTGCCAATTGTGAACATTCTCTTTCAGCTCTAAACACATGAAAATACACGTTAACAGGTTTGTAATATTCTGAAACTAAATACAAATTCAAAGTATTTTTCCCCACACCACATGTACTTAAGTGTCTATCTTTCCTATTGGTTTGTCTATTGAGCTATGGAATTGGTGTTATTTTGTTCAACCTGTCAATAGCGCTGTTAAAGATAGCCGTCCATTGATCGCCTGACAGAATACGTTTGTGTGGAAGCTCGTCTTGTCTCCGTAGCACTTAGCACGAGCCGAGATGGGGGAAGGCGCGCAGATGCTACCCAGAAGCCACAAGCTCCGTTTTATATATAGTTCTTTGCTCTCTGACAAAAGTAGGTCGTTATGTAATGCATCTAAGAGGTGTTTTCCCTGTGAGTCCATTCAATAAAAAGGGTCCACTGCTTTACTACCATGCGTGAACTATGGCTTCCAGGTGTGGCGCCTTGAAACTATATCAATCCGTTTCAGGAGCTACCATTCACACAAACAGGGAGTTGAAGTTGGGAGTGTTTTATCCCAGCAGCATGAGAGCAACCCAGGCCTGTCACTTCCAATGATGAGGAGGAGCTGATTGCAGCCCGAAGCCATGCGCTAGGCCTGGGAGACACAATCTAAGTGAAAGAGGAGCGGCTGACGTGTGTGGGGAAGGAAAGAGGGGGCGCACCATCAAAAGGAAAGACGGGTGTGAAGAATTATGGAAGAAATGATAGTTAGTGAGAGAGGAGAGAATATGGAGATTGTGTGCTTACCAAGCCAGCTTCTGTTCAGGTAGACCGAGACGAAGACAGGAGGAACGGTGAAGAAGTCCACCACGGAGTTGACCTCGAGCCAAAACCACAGCTTGTCGTTTGCAGCGATGAACTATGAAAAGAAAGAGATTTGGTTAATGTAGTTTTTTGTGCATTGCACAGTAGAGCGCTGGTCCATGCTATAGTATATATAAACAGCATGTGGCTGAAAGAGGAAAAAGGTTATCTGGTGAAGAAATAGTCAAAATCACAAAAGACAGTTTGTGTTATCCGGCCAAAATGATCACATACAGTATATAGAAAATAAAAGTTCTTAAAACAGACTATGTAAATGCATTTTCAATAAAGATAATTGATAGTTTGTTATAAATACCATAATATAAAAAAGTAAATACATTTAAAAAAAAAATACTAATAATAATAAGATGAGTGCTAAACTATAACAAGCTAATTCTAATTGGATCTGTTTAATGGCAGCTTGATGGGGACGTGATACTGTGCGACACATTACGTCCTGCTGCACCCATGTGCATAGAAAACGAGCAGAATTTGTTGCACTAAAGTGTGGATTTAAAGAGAACTGATGGATTTAACAAGAACAAAAGTTCAAGATGACAAGGGACACTAAAATCCCCACAAAATCTGACCTTTATGAAAGCTGTAGATTCTCTGTCAGCTGAGGTCGAGCTGTTTTAGTTTGCATTGAGGTCTATGGGAAAAATGTAGCGCAAGTGAAGTCAGCAGTACCGTGCTTCAGCTAAAGGCTATCCAGTTATTATAAAAGGTCCATGGTACGGCGACTCGATGCATGCACCAAACGCAGGAGATTTTTAATAGATCATGGATGAGATTCACTGAACACGTGCGGTAACCAATCAGAGAGCAGCAAAGTGATCAGGAGGACACAAGCCGGAGCAAGAAGACGAAGACACTTGAAAACAGCCAAAACAGGAGCTAAAGCAGGATGAAACTGGAGGGTCTTGGGAACTGCACTCGTGGATGACAACTTTACACAAAAGGCAGCAATAGCCTAGTGTAACAAGGAAGAGAAACGGAAACTTAAAATGGACTTACAGGTGGTCGTGGAAGATAGTGATCCCATCAGAACATATTAGAGTCATAACATGGATACACAATGGAGTCCTTGTGACTGTGAGGGTCAGATATTTTGTCTTGCGTTTGTCCGCCTGCGTAGGTCATACTGTAGCTATCTATTCACCATACTAGTATTAGCGCCACCAGCTGGACCGGAGTTGTAATCGACCGCATTTTTGACTGGCCCCGTTGAAAACATAAACCCCTCCAACCGCGGGCCGTCTTCGTCTTTGGCGACGATCAGGGTCACAAAGCCTAGTTTGTTTGCTAAAACTCCTGTGACCGTGCCCTGAGACTGAGGCTGAAATTGAGGTTGAGCCTGAGGTTGAGCGTGAGCCTAAGGTTGAGCGGAGCCTAAGGTTGAGATTGCGGTTGAGGTTGAGGCTGAGGCCGAGACTGAGCCTTTGACTGAGGATGACACGGAGGCTAAGGCTGAGTCTGAGTCTGAGTCGGAGGCTGTGACTGTGACTGTGGCTGTGGCTGTAGCTGAGGCTGAGACCGTGTGGCTGTAGCTGAGGCTGAAGCTGAGGCTGAGACCGTGGCTGTAGCTGAGGCTGAAGCTGAGGCTGAGGCTGAAGCTGAGGCTGAGGCTGTGGCTGTAGCTGAGGCTCAGACTGTGGCTGTAGCTGAGGCTGAGGCTGTGGCTGTAGCTGAGGCTGTAGATGGGGCTGAGGCTGAGGCTGAGGTTGTGGCTGTAGCTGAGGCTGAGACTGAGGCAAAGGCTAAAGTTAAGACTGAGATTGAGGCTGTAGCTGTAGCTGAGGCTGAGGCTGTAGATGGGGCTGAGGCTGAGGCTGAGGTTGTGGCTGAGACAGAAGCCATGGCTGAGCTCTGAGGCTGAAACTGAGATTGAGACAGTGGCTGTAGTTAAGATTGAGATTGAAGCTGAGACTGAGACTGAGACTGAGACTGACTGAGAATGAGACTGAGACTGAAACTGAGAATGAGAATGAGAATGAGACTGAGAATGAGAATGAGAATGAGAATGAGAATGAGAATGAGAATGAGACTGAGGCTGAGACTGAGACTGAGACTGAGGCTGAGACTGAGACTGAGACTGAGGCTGAGGCTGAGGCTGAGACTGAGACTGAGACTGAGACTGAGACTGAGACTGAGGCTGAGGCTGTGGCTGAGACTGAGACTGAGACTGAGACTGAGACTGAGACTGAGGCTGAGGCTGTGGCTGTGGCTGAGGCTGAGACTGAGGCTGAGTCAGTGATGGTGGAAGAATCCTCTCAGAGCTCAGTGAGAGTTTAGTGCATGGGCAGCTGCAGTGGGAGGAAGCTGATGTGTAAGGAGAGGCCTTTGTGCTTCAAGTTGTGGTGACTCATCCCATTGTTATTCAAAACTACACCTCATCAACAATTCAATCTTCACTTTACAACGCTTCCCTCTCCCTTTGCATCAATATGAAAGAGTCAGCAAGCAAACTCTGGAGAGTAAAAGAAATATTTGCCAAGACATACGATGGAGGTTCTTTCCGGGATTCAGAATGTTGATGTAGCCGAGAGTGGGCAAATTTGTGTAACTTTTATTCTTCACAGAGAATGTTCACTTGAGATGTTTGTTGAAGTGGCAGGAGAAAAAAAACTGACTTGTAAGATACCTTGAGCGAATGTAAAAAGGTTGCCAAAGAGGATAAAACAATACACTTTAAGTAACACATACTGTATTTTGTTTAATTTAATACAGCAACAGCTAATTTTTCATATTCGTTTCAACAAAGGCAAAGACCTGTATGCTTGTAGAATAGCTGTGAAGCAAAAACAGTTTTATGAGAAAGACGCTCCGCAACAATATACAGAGTCAGGATGCACCTTTTTAAGTGCGTTGCGAAAATGCAATGAATTAAGATTAAAAAGTATATAGGAGGATGTTCCCGCCCCCACAATGATTTACAACTAGGAAGATCAATTGTCTAGATGATCCACCCGGAAGAAAACAAATCCTCTCATATACCTTTAAGATGATCCTTTACTTTTCCCACACTGGGGAAATTTCAGTGTTGCATCACAAGTTACAGAACAGTAGGGATGAGGAGCACACAGACACAACACAAGATAAGTGAATATTAAGTATCTCTAACTCTATGCTTTAAAAAATCTCCATCCAGTTATTGTCCTTTTTTTTTTTGAACTTTATTGTGATAACACACAAAAAACAGAACATTAACATTGTCCTGAGACTGGGCTTAATAAATCATTCACTCATAAAAATAAATAAAAATAGAAGAAAAATAAAAATAAAAAAAGAGGGCCTAGGTTAATGTCCTATTTAAGAAAGGTAATCAGAGGAGCCCATCTTCTTTCGAAGATGTGGTTCTTTAGTTGCAGTTGTGCTGTCAATCGTTCCATCAAATAAACCTGTCTTGTCCTTTGTATCCATTGTGTAATTGTTGGCGGCTCAGGTTTTAACCAACAAATTGTTATCATTTTCCTTGCTGTCATTAAGAGTACATGAAGAAGAAATCTTTGGTCAGGGGTCAGATGATCTGGAAAGATGTCCAATAAAAATATTTGGGAGTCCAAAGAAATGCTCACTTTTAGTACATCTTCCAAAACGTCCTTAATGTTCCTCCAAAAGTTATGTATTTTAGGACAATCCCAGAACATGTGAGTGTGATCTCCGACAAGTCCACAGTTTCTCCAGCATTTGTCACTCCTGTTACTCTTGGTTAGGAAGGATTTCAATGGAGTCCTAAAAAATCTGGTTTTCATCTTCCAATCAAACTCCTTCCAGACCTGACTACTCACACCCTTATGACAACCAGAACAAATGTCAGCCCACACATCATCATCCAGGGTAACATTCAACTCCATTTCCCATTGCTGTTTTATGTGATGTGTGTTATCTGACATGTCCATAAGCATTTTTCTGTACATCAAGGACACTTGTTTTTTCATTACCCCACCATTTTCAATCAGATTGATAAAATGTTTCTCTATATTTGGAGAGTCTCTTCTAGTCAGCTCCCAATCATCATGTTTCATTACATAGCTCCTTATTTGTAAATACTTATATAGATCACTTGAATGCAACTTGAACTTTGCTCTTATTTGGGCAAAGGTTTTAATAACTGTTCCTTCAAACAGCTGATTGATTGTCAGGAGACCCCCCTCTGCCCACCTCTGAAAGCCACCGCCGTCTGATAAAGATGGAAGGAATTCAATATTTCTATGAATAGTCATAGCTCGAGATAGAGCAACCTTTCCCTTTAATTTCTTTTGGATCGTATTCCAACATTTTAATGTACATTTGACCCATATATTTGTGATTCTTATTTTTTTCTGAGACTGCAGGCTAAGAAATGGGAGCTGAGAGAGAGGGATCCCCGGCACAGAATCTTCTTCCATAGATACCCACTGTGAATCCAAATTGCGAATGATCCATGCCACCAGAGCTTTCATTTGGGCAGCCCAATAATATAATTTGAAGTTAGGCAAATTCAAGCCACCGGATTCTTTAGAAGACATTAAAATTTTAAGACGTACTCTTGGTCTTTTGTTCTGCCAAATGAACTTTGACATTAATCTGTCTAAAGATTTGAAAGTAGAATGTGGTATAGCAATAGGGAGGTTTTGAAATAGAAATAAAAATCTAGGAAGAACATTCATCCTTATACATTCAATTCTCCCCAAAAGGGAAAGAAGTAGTACATCCCATCTATTTAAGTCAGTTCTAACTTCTTTTAATAATTTGTCATAATTGGATGAGAACAACTGTGTGGTCTTTGGAGTCAAAATTATTCCTAGATATCTGAACCCTTGTTTGGAGTGTCTGAATGAGACAAGATTATCCAACTGCACTGGCCAAGCTCCAACAATCATTTGAGCTTCAGATTTATTTGTATTTATTTTATATCCCGATATCATACTATACTCCTTAACACTGTGAAGCAAGGCTGGTACAGAAGTGATAGGGTTTTCCAGAAATAATAGAATATCATCAGCAAAAAGTGATAATTTGTGTTGAACATTGGATTCATCTCTTATTCCCTGTATGAGAGGATTTGATCTTATCATTTCAGCTAACGGCTCTATACTTAAAGCAAACAGAGAGGGCGAAAGAACTTCACCCTGCCGAGTGCCACGTTCAAGCGGAAAAAAACTTGAGCAATGCCCATTAACCCTTACACGTGACCTTGGGTTTTTATAAAAGGTTTGGACCCACCCAATGAATGTCTCATTGAAGCCCATGTGCCTCAATGTCTGTTGCAGGAAGCCCCAGTCCACCCGATCAAACGCTTTCTCAGCGTCCAGACTGAGAAACATTGATGGGGTGTTCCTTTTCTGTGCTACAATTTGAAGATTTAAGGCTCTTCGTACATTATCAGTCCCCTGCCTATGGGCGATAAAACCAGTTTGATCTGGCTTCACCAGTCTTCCAATATAGTTTTGTATTCTGTGTGCAATGATGGCAGTGAGTATCTTTAGATCAACACAAAGGAGACTGATGGGGCGATAGGATGCACACAAAGTGGGGTCCTTACCATCTTTATGAATGACACTAATAATAGCTTCCGACCATGACTGAGGAGGATCACCCTTTGAAAGTGCATAGTTGTAGACTTTATCCAGAAGAGGCGTGAGCTCTTTTTCAAATACCTTATAGTATTCTCCTGGGAGGCCATCCACTCCTGGAGACTTGTTATTTTTGAGTTTTAAAATACTGATTTTTATTTCCTCTCTTGTAATTGGACGTGTCACTAGGACTGCTTCCTCCTCAGTCAGTCTGGGAAGAGTCATTGAGTTGAAAAAATTATCAATTTTTGTATCCTTATTTTGGCAGCTCTCTTCCTTGTACAATTCTTGGTAGTAAGTGGCAAATGCCTTTGCTACCTCCTTGGGTTGAGATAACAATACCCCAGTATTTGGGCACTTGATTTTATGAACAACTCTGTTCGATTGTTCTTTTCGCAGCTGGAATGCCAACAGTCTGCTTGCCCTGTTACCAAATTCGTAATACTTTTGGTTTGTGAATCGAAGCTGCCCTTCTGCTTTATATGTTAGTAGGTCATTTAATTTCTGTCTAGCTTCCTTTAGCCTATTAAGTATAGCATTGTTTTGTACTGTTTGGTATTCTTTCTCTAATTTTTTAACCTCGTTTCCCAATCCTTCTTGTTCTGCAAATCTTTCTTTCTTTAGTTTTGATGAAATAGCAATAATATTCCCTCTTAAGACACATTTGGCTCCCTCCCATAATACTGATGGGTTAACAGCATCATTGTCATTAAATTGAATATACTCTAGTAGTACCTTCTTAATGTGTTGTTGGATGTCGTCATTGTTAAGAAGAGATACATTTGCTCTCCAGTACCTAAAGTTACTTTTTGGACTCAACTTAATTGTCAGAGATACTGGAGCATGATCTGAGATAGTAATTGCTTCAATCGTACACTGGGTCACTCTATAGAGATCTGTACTCGGCATCAAAAACATATCCAATCTTGAGTGACTACAGTGTACATGTGAAAAAAAGGAAAAATCTTTTTCCTTAGGATGCAGGCAACGCCAAACATCTTTTAAACCTAACTCATCCATCAGTGCACAAAGGGTTTGAGACTTCCTGGTTACCGGACCAAAATCAGCAGGGAGCCTATCTACAGAAGCTTTCAGAACACAATTAAAATCTCCCCCCACAAGAATAATCCCTTCTGCGTTGTCAGCTATCAATGATGCAATGTTTTTAAAGAAAATAGGACAGTCCTCATTTGGAGCATATACATTTAGTAAAGTAATTTTTACGCCCCCTATACATCCAATTACCATAAGGAATCTCCCCTCCTTGTCACTGCTAGTTTTCTCATGGCAAAAATACACTGACTTGTTAAAAAGGATAGCAACTCCTCTTTTTCTCCCGCTTTGGTGTGAGGAGCTATATTGTTGGTCTACCCATTCTCTCCTCAGCTTCATGTGTTCCTTGTCTGAGAGATGCGTTTCCTGAAGCATTGCTATGTCAGAGTTAAGCTTTTTCAATTGGTTCAGCACTTTCTTCCTTTTAATCGGACTACCTAAGCCTTTAACATTATAGGTAACACATTTTATGTCCTCCATTTCTTATTATGATATACATTCAAATAACACAACATTGTTTTGATTCACATTTAACTCGATACACAAACAATCAATACAGATAAGAAAATTATAATGGCCCACTAGAAGTCTCAGGACAAGAACAACCTTTAAAAATGAAAACATAGCGAACAAAGTGAACAATGTAGGCTTCCACATACCCGACTGGATCAAATATGACTCCTTGAACTAAATCAAACTTGAGCAATCCAGCCCCTGGTGTATATCGGACGGAGGCTGGTGACTGGTCCTCCGCGGGGAATAACACAACGTTTGTTGTATCGCTGTCGCTCCCAGAGCTCTTCGCGTGCGACTTGGACGTGGATAGGTCCTCCACTAGTGGTTCTCGCGTCTTGTCCATGTTGAAAATCTTCTATTTTCCTCTCCTAACGTATATTGGTTTAACGTGGTAGTTGAACTCGGCGAGTGTGTCTTAGTTCTCGGTGTTGAAAAATACTTTGATTTCGGCGTTGGTGAGAGTTGCTGGACCCCTGTTGGCTCTCTTCCCCGCTATACTCCACCCGTCCCGGCACAGCTCAGTCTCCAGACGCTCCCTCTCGTCCAGTCGGGCGTGCACCCCCAAGCCATTAAGTACCGGTACTGCGTCTGTCAACGTTGGGTAAGTCTTCACACCATCTTGCATGAAAACTCTCAGTTGCGCCGGGAACAAACATTTTGCCCTGATATTCATCGTCTTTAGCTGTTTAACCGCATCACGTACCAGCGCTCTTTTCTTCTGCAACTCCGGGGAGAAGTCGTGATCAAAGTAGATCTGTTTCCCTTCGTACATCACTTTTTTCTGCTCCCAGGCCTGTTGTAGTATGATTTCTTTAACTGAGAAGTCCAAAAATCTAACGACAAGCGATCGGGGGGCTGCTCCTGGGTTCCTGGGCTTGGCAGTGAGCGCTCTGTGTGCTCTTTCAATGACCATGTTAAGATCAGGGGGAAGTTGAAGAACAGATTTAAGCAAGTCATGTATGAAAAGCTTGACATCTCTCCCCTCCCTGTCTTCGGATACTTGATAAATTCTCAAATTGTTCCGCCGCAGACGATTTTGCATGTCTTCACATCGTGCATTCAGATCCATTTCTTGGTTCAATAGATAACGGAGGGCCCGCTCGTGGCGCTTAGCTGTATCCTCATTAGCACTAATACGGTCTTCTGCCTCCGCAGTTCTCTTTTGCAGTCTAGTAAGATCTTCTTTCAGTGCACCGAAGGACGCTTCCATCCGTGTTAAAGATAGCTGAGTCTGAGTGTGTCCATCTTGGTTGTCTTTCCTCATTTTCTCGAGTTCTGAAAATAGTTTTGACATGGAGTCGGGCATGCTAGCATCCGACGGTACACTCTGCGTTTGCATCAGGGTTAGCTGTTTTAAGTTGTCGCCTTTGTCCTTAGCCGGATCTTGTTTAGATTGTCCTTTGCCTCTTGACGACATGTCGAACTCAATAAAATATGCCGAGTTTTAAGCTGGTTGTGTTAGGAAATTATCAAATTTTGGACGGAGCGTGTCCCTCAAGCTGCTATCAACATGGCGTCACCGGAAGCCTCCCTTATTGTCCTTTTTAAATAAAGGGTAAATAAAGTGGTAAAAAATCTAATTAACAAGTGTTTGGAGTGGAGGGCCCCAGGAGCTAAGTGGGCCTTACATTATGTACACAGTATCGTCACCAGGGAGCTTAAACTGAAAATACAGCTTTATACAAGAAATCTTTGAGTTGATACAGAGAAGTCCTCAAAGATTGTTTGTGTAGTTTTGTGACAGCAGAATGACATGAGAATAGCAGAGGTACCTCCTGCTGTGAGGGAGCTGCCGTCTTCACATGCATCAACACAAAGTAGCAGACGGAGCTCCCGCTATCTACAGGCTCCGATATTCATGAAAGAGAGAGCAGCTCTGCATAAGATCACCGCAGTTACTCTTACTACACAAACTAACGCATATATTGCAACTAATAATATGTAAATTTGAGTTCACATTTTTGACCCAGCCCTACACAACATTTTCTTGTTCTCATTCGGCCCCTGTAAGAATATAGATAGAACATATAGATAGTACTGTGGAGGTCTGTTTGTGATTTAATGAGAGTGAAGCAGTGAGTAGCACAGTTTCAACTCGCCTCTGGCCACATATTTGACTAGATGCACTGCCTTCATAAATTCTGCCTGTAAATGACTAAAGAGCACTTGCTTACCCGCAGGCCGAAGTATAGGAGGAAGAAGACGTTGAAGGCCATATCGATCTGTAACGTGAAGTCTTTATAGAAGTTCTGGCAGGATTCTATAGGACTGCAAAAGAGAAGAGAGAAAAAGAGAAACCCAATGTTAGATTATCAACAAATCAATTTTGTATATCTTGTGTTATAATATTAAAAAATTATAACACAAGAATGTTTATAAAAAGACAGTAGCTCAGTTGGTAGAGCATTGGCCTTGAGGCCAGAAGGTCGTGGGTTCAATTCCGACCTCTGCACCTTCTCCATCGACTCCCACTGATGACTGCTGTCGTTGTGTCCTTGGGCAAGACACTTAACCCCACTTTGCCCAAAACCCCCACTGAAAGATCAAGGCTATGCTCACACTCAGAGAGCAGCCGCCCTCCTGTGGACTCACCACCTGCAGAGGGTCAGTGAGGGGCTGGTGCTATGAGACTTGGGTGGCATCTCTGATTGCCACCCCCCTGACCCAGAAATGGATTAAAGGGTAGAAAATGGATGGATGGATGGATGGACAGAGATGGTAGTTTATATACACCATTTTTCACCCTAACTGGGGTGACTTAAAGTACTCTCACTGCTATTGTCTTGCTACTACTACTCTCCCCACAGTGAGTTAGTATATCAAGCCCCAGCGAACCAAGATGTCTGTCCGTTCAAATCAATGCCCTATGCTCTTTGAAAAAAGACACATGCTCGGACCACGGAGGCCGAAATATTAGCAGAAGTGACGCTTTCTTACATCTCTCGGCCTCCTGGTCTTGTGTAGTAGGTGCCGAGTGGTTTTTTTAGTGCGGCATCCAAGTGACACGTGAGCGTTCTTACCAATCAGCCCTGACCTCAGCTAGCTCATCTAGTTATATGCATGTTAAGTCTAAGTGGGGTACTCCAGCTTTAATAGTGGTGTATGTATTAAGGACGCCAGGAATGAAAGGTTAATTGTAAATCTCAGTTATTTAGGTCAAGATCATTGGAAAACAGTCTGAAGTTCTCTGTGGTCTTTTCCTGCCATCTCTTGTCTCCCATTACAATTACTTTGCCCAAACATTCCATAAGCCAGATACTATGGTGGCATATAAGACAATGATATAAGACCTCAATAGACAACAACAAAAAGCGAGGTTGCCCAGCTCTAGTTTTGACTGAATCCTGGAGGTTCTGAGCTTTATGACAAGGTAAGAAGTTGACTGGATGATGATGAACTATATTTTTATGATCTCAAAGACTACTTTGGCTTAGCAAGGCAGAAGGCCACATAGAAAGACACAGAGGAACCGCAATTGGCCTTAGTTTGGACAAGCCTGTGTTAAAGTGTTTTGGCTCCTGTTTCGGCTGTTTCATCAATTGTGATTACTGTAATCATTTGAACCGAGTAGTTTTTGCAACATATTCTTCTCTCCGGCCAACCACACCTTACCTCGTCACCACAATTTCTTACCCATGCCACACCCTCTTATCCATACCCTTCATCTGTCTTGTACTCTTGAACAATTAAAGAATACCCTTTAGCTACATCACGCATCGTCAAAAAAAACATTCAAATTGCATTCTTGTTTTTGAATGGTTGTGGTGAACAAATAATTCCACAAAGAAAATCTGAAATAGTAACTCTACTACAGAATACACAAGTGACTACTCTTCCTGGCTGTCAATTTGACCAAAACCTTTTCCACTTTGCATTCACTTGGAACTCACACACAATCAGCGATAAAGAACTGAACTGAATACCTCCAAAAATCCCCACTTCAGTCAAACTTCTTTCAACAGTGAAACTTTTTTTTTCCTTCTCCTGTCCTTACAGCACACCCAAACAACAGTTCAGTTCACCTCCCAAGCGTTGGAGTCTATGACATGTAGATAAAACAAGCCAAAAATTAACTGCAGCGTTTTCATACCGTGTGCCGCTTTGATGTGGCAGCACGCATAAATTATTCACGCGTCTGTCATGGAGTAACACCGGCGAGCGATGACGGAAAGCGAGAGAGTTTTTTTTCTTTCTTTTTTTAAATAACTAGGTCTTCCGCGTGATGAATGCGTGCTGATCTGTCAAGTCACTGGGCCGATCCATCTTCATGTTTACCTCTATGATTAGCTATTACCGAGCGGGCGGTCTCAACAAAGCAATCATAAGCGGCATGTGAAGATCCATTTGTCTTTCGCTAATGTGAGCTAGAGTCTGTGCTCTTACATGTGATGAGGAATCCCCACATGTGGTAAAGACAGAACGTGAAGAAACAACAAGAAGGATGTTGACTTGAAGGTGTGTGTGTGTGAAGTAAGTAGGTAAATAATGTTTATTTATACAAGCGTATTTCACAGACCCAAAGCGCTTTACAATTCTGGAGAGTTCACGGATGTGGAGATGACTCTGCACAGCTTTAGCTCCCAAGGGATTATTTTATTTCGCTCCACAAGAAGTGACGTTCCGGGCAAAACTATCCTTCATCAGACATAAAGAAAGCAGGCCATATATCTGTATATGTACACACAGTGATTACAAGTCACGTGACAAACACAATGTAAAGTTTTTAAATACAAAAAATGTAATGTTGAGTAAATTTTTTGAAGCTGTGAATGGTTTCCATCTAATTATTTTTTACTTTTTGCACGCTACTCAGATTTGGATGTGCGCGTCAACCTCACTCTAGTACACATATTGTTCCATTCTCTCCACACAGTAATGACAGAAGCGAGATCCAAACGCCCGGGCGCATCAAAGCCCCAAACCAACAGCATCCATTCCCTCACACATTCATACCTATTGAACATGTGTTTAGTGGTGAGGGAAACCGGAGCACCTGAATGAAACCTACGTAGACTCGGGGAGAACATGCAAACTCCACATAGGCCTGGAGGTGGAATCGTACCCAGGAACTCCTTGCTAAGCCGCCTGTCTTGGTGTAGTCTTGGCACCCTGTTGTTTGTGTATGCCCTAATTTTGATTTTGCTCACTACATTTGCACGTCATTTAGATTAAGTTGTTTTTGTTTGTTTATTTTTATTATATGAAAGGTGCATAAACATAGACAACATGGACAGCCTGGGGCCTAGCGTTTCCATAGACTCTTTGGTCAGTACCCGTTTGAGTCCCACTCACCATTTTGAGCTTAAACATTCTGCGGTTTCATGCTCTCTGTGATCCTGGGGTCTCTATTTTGATATTTTCCAGATATGCGCCATATAAGGACCGACCAATCAGATGCCTTCATTCGCTGGGAATACTCTAGCTTGCCTTAGGAACAGTCTGCCCTAGTGGGTATTTTGGATATTTTGTTGTTTTTCCTCTTTGGTTCATTGTTTGTATGTGTTCTATAGATAATATGGAAACACACACCTGAAAGTGAATATTAGTTTAACCTTTTCAACATGAGAGGGAACATTCCAGATCGGATAACATTTATTCCAATTTCTACTGGTGGTGATTACAAGAGATGGGATTATATTCATTCAATGTTCAATATATTCTTTGTGATTAATTTACACAATACAGGGTCATATGAGCAAAAACAACCTTTTAAATGAAATACAATTGAACTGAATTCAGAAATGTAACAATACAATGCAATCTATCCATTGAATGAAATGCCGTGCCCGTGAAATACTCCATACAAAAGGAGAAAGTAAATGAGGGAATCCAAATTAAATCTGTAAAGCATAGTGGTCCTCTGTGATTGATATATAGCGGTGATGATACAAGGGAGCTACATTAGCATCAGACGAGTGCATTGGGAACAGCATATGTTGAATTATACATTAGACGTTAACATGTCCACAGAGACGGAGTGAGATGAAGGATGGCTGGGTAATGCACCATCATGTAAAATGCCGGGTAATGCACCATCATGTAAAATGCCGGGTAATGCACCATCATGTAAAATGCCTCCTCATCTTAAACGCTTCAGCATATACAATGAGAAAGGCCATGTGGATAGACGGCCCACAGCAGGCTGACAGTATATTCATGTGTAAGGGAACGACAGAATGGCCTTCATACGTACATATATAACCAAACATTTAGGCAATTATGCATATTGACTAACATTTAGCCTTCATACTTGTTTCAGCATATATTTACTACTGAAATGTTTTTGTCACATTCAAAAATGTGATATGACAAAGTAAATAGTCTCATTATCATTTTAAAGGCCAAAAGAAATGCATAGTATTTCTTATTCAATTAAAAAACACAGGATGCAATGGCATTCTGATTAGAAAAAAATATTTTCTTTTCTTTGCAGTTGCATGAAAGCACAAGCTCATGCATGGACGATATTCAAGTATGGACTTTTTGAACTGTGCTTTTGAAAGGTTAAATATTAACATAAAAGGTCAAATCCATTTTAAAATCCATTGTTCATGAGTGAGGGAAGGATTGAGGGTGAGATAGACGGATCAGTGCAGCGTGTGCAGGGATGCGGTCGCTGTATCGAACTGTTATGGTGAAGAGGGGGCAGCGTCTGCAGTCAAAGCTTTATCGGACTGTGGTGGTGAAGAGGGAGCAGAGTCTGTAGTCAGAGCTTTAGCGGACTGCATTGGTGAAGAGGGAGCTGAGTTGAAAGGCAAAGTCAGATTTACTTTTCAAATCCCACCCTCACCAATGGTCCTGAGCTTTGGGTAACGATCAAAAGGACGAGCTCACGGACACAGGCGATCCTCCAGACAGGGTGATGATCCTGGGGAGGAGTTCCGGGCAATTCCCACCAGGAGGAGACCAGGAGAAGATTGAGAGACTATGTTGGAAGAGCTGGTGGAAGTGTGTGTGGATAGCGATGTCTGGGGGTCTCTGCTCAGACAGCTGCCCCTGCAACTCGGTAGATGAAAACGAAAGAAAAAAGCGGAAGAAAATGGATGGAGGTAAAATGTTTCCTTTTGTGACATCAGAGCGTTAAACGAATAAGAAGCTGGTCTGTACTTGCTGCCTCCATTCATAGATTCTTAATTATCTTGGTTAGTTATAGTTCCATGGCCTGTCCACTGATTCACGAGGCTTCTTTTAGCTCCTGCAGTTAGATGTCTACCGTGTCACATGGTACAGGTGCCAGGGAGTTAATAATTCAGAGTATGCAGCTGATCAATGGTAACACCTTTGTGGAGTCACAAGTGAATTAACCTGTGCTCCCAGTCCAAAACGGCTTTTAACCAAATGAAATCAGCGCAAACGGCGATGAAGCAATGTTTTTTTCACTGCAGTTTAGTTTCTCGCTGACTCCAAACCACAAATAATATGCTCATAAATCTAAGTTGTAAATTTGAAGGAAGTGTGGCTAAATGCATTTATTCTAACACTCATAGTGGACTGTACTGTACCTTAAGCGGATATTGAGCTATTTGTCATTTTGAGGTCTCGAAAATGAGGACACCAGATGAAAGTGCTTTAAAACTATTGATATATCATTGAAATCACAATAATTAGAAAATTGTTATGGATTGAAAACTGTATTAATTAAAGTTGGAAACAAGCTCCGAGCATTTCCCCACAGTACCGGTTAAACTAACTGAAAGATCAAGGCTATGCTCACACTTAGAGCAGCCGTCCTCCTGTGGACTCACCACCTGCAGAGGGTCAGTGAGGGGCTGGTGCTATGAGACTTGGGTGGCATCTCTGATTGCCACCCCCCTGACCCAGAAATGGATTAAAGGGTAGAAAATGGATGGATGGATGGACCGGTCAAACTAGAAATTTTACTTTTGTGACTGGATTTGGAAATCACTAATTGTCTGGCTGTTGTGGTCGTTAAGCAACATTTGTCCATTACTGAACTTAAAGCTGGGGCCCTAATTTTAAAGAATGTACATTCCTGATCACATTTGAGACTGTTTAAGAAAGATTTATTGAACAAATATGTGACACAGAGCAAGTAGTGGGAGAGAGGTGTAGGGTCGGAGAGTGTTTGGGCCTGTGTGTTGTCAGTGTGTGTGTGTTTAGTGTTGTCTGTCTTATACCATCGGTGGTAGTATTGTATAAATGTTTGTAATGTACCGTTGTATATTTTAGAATTCTACAGCATGATATTGTTAAAACACTGATGGGGTTGGAACCAAATAAACACTTGCTTCATCCAACTCCTTTTCGAACCAGGTACGGGTTATTTGTCTGTTATATTGATATATGTAAAAATATATATTGTGCTGTTTCCAAATAAATAAAATAGAAAACAAAACAAGTTCCTCACTCTTCAAACACCTTGGTTCAGTCCCTAATAATGCATGTATTTGTCGGCCTCTGCCATATCTTTGGATCCTCTTTTTCAGACAGAAAAGTGAAAAAAAGACCTCCCTCACTCAGCCAATCATTTCTCAGCCCAAAGCCTCAAATAGTGCTTCACATGGATCTCTTTTACACGTGAACAATAAATCTCACATGTTTTTCAATAAGAGGAAGGCAGCATTAAAAAACTTTCTGTTGAGTAAAATAAGTAACTAAAGAAAAATGTAAACAAAGGTGATGCTTAAACAATTTA